TCCTCCATTCCATGTATCGACGTTGCACGACAGTCATCAATGCATATGGCGGACACACGAGATACTGATCTGCGATGCCATTTTCTCAGTGACTGGTGTTGTGTTTCACTTTAAGAACATTTGACACTTTAATTTCAACCATGATGATCAGTTTTGCCAAGTTTCAACTTTTTAATATGTCTCCAAATATCTTTACAGTGTTTGGACAAATAAGGTTTCTCATCTATCTATCCATGGTGGCGTTTCTTTTGTGGTTCAGTATATATGTAAGCATAAAATATCTCTCTCTCTCTCTCTCTCTCTCTCTCTCGAAGCTGAAGAAGCTGAAGAAGCCTTGTACGATTGTCACGATTCGTATCATACCGGGACGAGCCGTATGCCGTCATTTAGGTCACGGAAGGAGTGGTAACAAGTGAAGTGTAAAGATTCGGTCACTAAATATGTATAATAACCACATCAGATTGATGTCCATATACCATTCGTTTAACCTATTTGCAAAACATTTAAAAAGCTCCTTTCAAATTTTATCACAGATCACAATCAATGTAGGTCACATTTTAGAGATACGGACCAGTGTCCTTTAGACGCTCAAATGCACAACGATGGGGCTTTTGAGGTCAAAGCCCTCATCATTAGGAGACGTATCCGTCTGGGCTCGTTGTTGACTGTATCTGGTCTTGGTGAGAACGCGTACAAGCACACGAGTACAGATGAACGACTGTCCCACGAAGTCCCGGGGTGGAATAGATGTTCAGCAACCCATGCTTGCCGTAACAGGTGACTATGCTTGTCGTAAGAGGCGACTAACGGCATAGGTTGGTCAGGCTCGCTGACTTGGTTGATGCATGTCATCGTATCCCAATTGTGTAGATCGATGCTCATGATGTCAATCACTGGATTGTCTGGCCCAGATGCGATTATTTACGGACCGCCGTCATATAGCTGGAATGCGGCGACTGTACTGTAAAGGACACTTTTTTAGTTACGTCATTGTGGGCTGCCTGACGTCATACTTCTGCTTACCCTTCCCGCGACATAACGTATCCTTGGTAACGTCCACTGTTACGCAAGACAGCGCTTCCACATCAATCGTCGATTGGTGAAATACGTATGATTTCTTTAAACTTGTCAAACATTTGACATTTAGTACAGAAGAAGAAATATAGCAAAATCATGTCAACCGTGAGTTTTCCCAAACATCTTCATACCACTATGCCCCATGGGCGGATACAGAGGGGGGGTGCGGGGGTGCCCGTACCACACAGCTGTCTGAGATGGACGTTGATGTCCCGGAACTTATGGCTGACTCTGGACACTGGCTTCATCAATCCTTGAAGAGTTTCATACTCACATGTACATCTGTTGCTCAGTGAGTGCGTGAGTGAGTATGGTTTTATGCCGCTTTTAGCAATATTCCAGCAATATCACGGCGGGGGACACCAGAAATGGGCTTCACACGTTGTACCCATGTCGGGAATCGAACCCGGGTCTTCGGCGTGACGAGCGACCGCTTTAACCACTAGGCTACCCGACCGCCCCTCAGTGTCGGGCATTAAGCAACATACTGCAGTCAAACAAAACAATCGCTGTTGCTCTTCCTCCCATATGTTTGTCCCACGGCGAAAATGGTTGCCTCTGTCGTTCCAAGGTGGTACACAGGAGGTTCAGACATCGCCATGGACGCCATGGTCGCCGTGAATTTTTGAACATGTTCAAAACAGTCGTGCAAAGGTCGCCGAGAAGGTTTGTTGCTCAAAGGAGGCAGAAGGGAGGCACAAGCATTGCCGTTGTTGCAGAATGAAGGCACAGTGGTCGACCAATGGTCGCCAGGAAATAGATGTTTTCTGTTGCAAATATTTAGTCAATCTGGGCGACGCGTCTGCTTCCCTTGTGTCCCTTTGGGCGACTAACAGCGTGCATTGAACGATGACTGTGGCGACCGCCGTGCCTCCATTCGGCGACCACGGCAACCCTTGAGACACCATGACAATGCTTCTGCCTCTTTTCTGCCTCCTCTCAGCTACCTCTAGTGCCTCCTAAACCTGCCTATAAACAGAGGGCTTGTACCTGCAGTGTTTCATTGTGGTTGCAGACGCTGAACAACTCGAGCAGTTAGTGCTGGACCACTGCTGGAGCAGTTACATAAAAACATCATTTTATGGGCTTAGGCGACCCTTGAGCGTCCTGGCCAGTTTCTGATCGCTCAAAGGTGGCACAAAGGTCGCAGCCCTGTGCAACGGGGGCTTAAGCACAATATTTCATGGCTTGCAGGTCCTGCTGTATGCTAACAAAAGGGATGGAAACAAAGTTGCAACTTTTACGACAGAAAACCAGTCAACTAACAAGCGACCAAGAACGTCGGCTGTGTTTTCGTGTGTTAGATCGGCCATACAATGCACTCGTGGTATGTCCCGCGTCACTGGAGCAAACTATTATAAAAACATAATTTTTAAGTGTTATGAATAATCACACACTGAACGGATAATAAAATGCGGCTTAGTTAACAATACACTTACAATTTGAGTAGGGATTTATTATGTTTAAAAGGCATTTTTGTCTCTTAATGTCAGGGTACAGGCAATTAGCTGGAACGGCCCGTCAGGTACATGTAGCCCTGTTCGAGGATTTTCAATTTAAGGCACCGTTTGTTAATGATTTCATTTTAAACCCATCTCCAATAAGACATAAGGTTAGTCTTAAATTAGCCGTTTTTCAAAAGTAACAAAGTTTGCTCTACTGTAATAAAATATAGTTTTGCCCCGAACTTTTAAAACGTCACGGGAATAGGGTGCAGTTATGTGTCCTTGTTCCTTAACTATACTTTTTCAGGGCAAAACTATACATTGTTACACTACACATGCGGGTAGAGCAAACCTCATTTCTTTATACTAAAATGGTTTGCTAAAAGATCCAAGGCGTCGAGTGCACGTTATTTTGCGTTATAAACCTTAAGTAACGTCTCCTATTATTCGCCAGTCGGGTTGAATCTCATTAACAGGGATGTTATAATATCCCCGGGATTTTATCAATACATCCGTTTAAATTGTAACATATGAATGTTTATCGATATAAATTTATTTTGCATTTGAAGACAATGCAATGAAATGTAAAATCAAATGACAAATGTTTTCTTTATATTCCCTTCGTATCTGTAGCCCAGCGAGTCTACCACTAGGATGTTAAAAATGTTGATAAATGTTATTTTAAGTTGTTGTTTTTGTTGTTGTTGTTTGTTTGTTGTTTTGTTGTTTGTTTGTTTGTTTGTTTTTTTTGGGGGGTCTTGTTTTTTGTTGGGGTTTTTTGGGGAGGTTATGATATTTAAAACCCTCGGACATGCTTTATCCTTCACATTAAGGGCACTGTTTGAGTTACGTTGAGTTGCGAGAAAACTTGACCCAGTTTCCTTGTAGCGAGGTATTAGCACTTTTGTACAGCGTGAATAATTGACGTGTCAGGCGACAGGAGTAAATATACAACAAATGTTTCAGGCGACAGGAGTAAATATACAACAAATGTTTCCGAGTCATTGTTTTGAAAACGTATTACGAGGTTTGTTTCCATGATACGTTTGTTTTCTGTTTAAATATTACAAATGTATTTAAAATCAAATGTGACATATTCTCATTTCCTGATTTTGAAGGTACCACATCCAAATTACAATTTGTTTCACCTCCTGGGTTACATATGTCCACTTTATAGCAGTACAGATGCTTGTACAATAGGAAGGTATGCAACACCATTTCTTTCTGTTAATCCTCTGGACCAAAGTTATCCTGTGTAATGTATCCTTTGAAGGGCGTTGATGGCCTCGGAATTATGTCTGTTTCTGTTGAGTTCAGCATATCTATATCTACCATCAAAATCAAGGCCTCAAATGAGTGTCAGTGCTTTGAACACTATTTCAGTTATATCATGGTGTGCCCAACTAATGTGGGAGGAAAGCCCGAAGTGATGCAGGTCTCAGACCACGTTGGTGAAACCCAGGAGTAAGTGAGTGTGTATGGTTTTATGCAGCTTTTAGCAATATTCCAGCAGTATCACGGGGGGGGACACCAGAAATGGGCTTCACACATTGTACCCATGTCAGGAATCAAACCCGGGTCTTCGACATGACGTGTATATGCTTTAACCACTAGGCTACCCGACCGCCCATGAAACCCATGAGCACAGCATCAAACTGATCTGTCACTTCCGGCGAGGTTCTGTCTCTTCCGGTGAGATCTGGTCATTTCATGCGAGATTCCGTCACTTCTGGTGAGATTCTGTCACTTCCGCTGAGATCTAGTCACTTCCCTAAGCACAGACTGGGAAACATTGCACGTATTGGCTACTTCAGTTTCCAGCATGCCAATAGCCTCCAGACGCTCGGCGTGTTTCTGACGCCGCATTGCTTGTTCATACACAAACAATGAATGAAATCAAGTAAATAACAACAATGTGATCAGCAGAATAAGACTGACAGAAATAATGGTCCACAGACATTAATCAACATTCCTTGAAGGTGTCAAAATTACAAATGACACCCCACACTCTGCGTGTGGCATGTGCAAACTATAGGATGAAACCCATGAGCATGGGTATGGCAATGACAAACCTTGAAACATAATCGGGGCGAACCAGGATTCAAACCCACAATCACAGGCGTGCCAACTCTACACAGCAAATCGTGGCACTTTAGACGACTGGACCACCCGTGCTCCCTGGTCGTTAGACCGGCGGCATGGCATCGTTTATAAGTGGTAGAAACATGATAGGGGTGAACCAGGATTCAAACCCATAATCATATGTTTCTGACGAGCCAAAGGGACGCAACTCTGCACAGCAAACCGCGGCACTTTAGATGACTGGGCCACCTATGCCCCCCTGACTGTGGTTAGGAAGTTTGACATGAGAGACTTGCCCCACAGGACACCCCACTATAGATCACTCAATCATGAACTCTCTCCTGGCTATAGTTGGGAAGTCCACATGTCTTGTTGTCCAAAATGTATTGTAAAATATGCAGTCAAACAATTTATTATCATTTTGAGAATATATACATTCAAAATATCACAATCATTCCATCACAGCTTGTGTTGTGAACACCTGTTCACTGTTTCACCATTTAAACAAATGTAAATCCAACACCATCAAAATGGCATGTTTCTCTGTTGTCAAATTCAATTGTTCTGCAGTTTGTAAAGACAGCAATTTGCACATTTTGAAGTCCTCAGTCGAAAATTTGTGTTCCTTAAAAATGTTGATCCATTTTGCTTTAACTTTTGAAATCTGAAACAAACAAAAAGTTGATAAATTTGTTGGGTTTTGGATTGTTGTTTAACGCAGCACTCAGCAATATTCCAGCTATATGACCGCGGTCTGTAAATCATCAAGTCTGGACCAAACAATCCAGTGATTGACCTCATGGGCATCGATCCACGCAATAGGGATACGACATGCATCAACCAAGTCAGCGAGCCTGACCACCCGATCCCGTTAGTCGCCTCTTACAGCAAGCATGGGTTGCTGAAGACCTATTCTACCCCAGATCTTCACGGGTCAGTTGATATATAAAACAAAACATGAAACACTTGTGCAGATATAATATTGGCAATCTACCACATCGGAGGGCAACTCTCACCAAGTCACAATTTCGTTTGTGAAGCTTGCCAAAATTATAAAGAGAAAGCAAGAATGGCTGCAAGATGCATTTTCCCGAGGCAAGGGAGTTAACTGACTATAAAAATCCAATTTCCACCCTTTCCGAACTAGGCTGGAATTACAGAGTTATATTTTGGCTGGACTAACGAGTAACGAATCTGTTCGGCTGGAATTACGGAGTTATATTTTGGCTGGACTAACGAGTAACGAAATCAACATCTGCTGTGCAGCTTTCCGTCGACTGCAGGATTTGCAAAGCATGTGTACCATCAACTTAACGTCAACAGATATTTCCAAATCTTTTCATGCTTAATGTGTGGATTTGACATAGATGAGTTACCCTCTTAAAAACAGTGGACAACTGCTGGATTATTGGTTGCCTATGTCACCTGATGATGTGGGACATCGCTCAGACTGCTTCTCCATCCGGTGTGGCTGGTGGTTTGTAGAAGGGATGTTTTGCTGCCATCATGTCATTCAGTTTCTTCAGCTCATCACTGTCGGCAGACACCTTGTTCTTCTGTGATAGAAGATAGAAAATAACCGATGACAACTCAATTACATAACGAACCCCTGAGGAACAAACCACACAATGCAATATTCTCTCAAAGTTGATGTTACCACATACCTAAAAATGACATTTTTTGACAGTTTTGAAGTGTGACACTTAACTCTAAGCCAGGTATTTAGTCTGGAAGGTAATTTAAGGTACCGACGTTTACTACAATATCTGAAAAACTATTGGACCTACTCCAGTCAACGCACGTTGAGACGCCCAACACTAACACCGTATTCGTGCGTTCGTGATTCCCGTGCAACCTTTCGAGTTGAGTTGATTGGTTCAACTGTGTCATATGGCCCTGTGACACAGGGGGAGCATTATGCAGATGGTTGTTACAATGAATGCTCGTTCCACCCGTGATAAACAGGTCTGGTTGTTGATGAAATATAGTAATAGCTAAATAGACAGATTTTTTATTCATGCACCGATTGTCTTTAAATGTAATATCCAGTTATGTATGACTGTTTAATAATCTCATACCAACTTTGACTGGAGTAGGTCCGATAGTTTTTCAGATATTGTAGTAAACGTCGGTACCTTAAATTACCTTCCAGACTATAGCCAATCAGAAAATGAGAGAAACCTCCCAATCCATACAAATCCTTAAGCCCCACAAGGATTCCAGGTCATAAGCTGCCTGTGCTTGTCACACAAGGTGACTAAACTGGTTGGTGGTCAGGCTACGTGACTTACTTTATAGCTTTGATCATTGCTCATAATATCAATCACTGGATTGTCTGGTCAAGATTTGATTATGTACAGGTGGCCGTCATATAGCTGGAATATTGCAGAGTGTGGTGTCAAACATCAAATAAGGAAACAAAGACTCTAAGACGTATGTGTAGATGGTGACCGACGTACATGTAGGCAGATCCTCATGAGACCGGTGCCGTTGATCTTGTTGTCCATCAGCAGGGTCTTCTGGTACTGGGCTGCCTTGATCAGCTCCTCCACACCATCCTCTGTGATCTGGTTCCCTGCGAAACACACACATTACATATATTACATACATATTACATATATTACATACACATTACATATATTACATACTCATTACATATATTACATACTCATTACATATATTACATACATATTACATATATTACATACACATTACATATATTACATAAACATTCCATATATTACATACTCATTACATATATTACACACACATTACATATATTACACACACATTACATATATTACATACACATTACATATATTACATAAACATTCCATATATTACATACTCATTACATATATTACACACACATTACATATAATACACACACATTACATATATTACATACACATTACATATATTACATAAACATTCCATCTATTACATACTCATTACATATATTACACACACATTACATATATATCATACTCATTACATATATTACACACACATTACATATATTACACATACATTACATATATTACATACACATTACATATATTACACACACATTACATATATTACATACACATTACATATATTACACACACATTACATATATTACATACACATTACATATATTACACACACATTACATATATTACACACACATTACATATATTACATACACATTACATATATTACACACACATTACATATATTACATACACATTACATATATTACACACACATTACATATATTACACATATTACACACACATTACATATATTACACACACATTACATATATTACAGACACATTACATATATTACACACACATTACATATATTACATACACATTACATATATTACACACACATTCCATATATTACATACACATTACATATATTACATACACATTACATATATTACACATATTACACACACATTACATATATTACACACACATTACATATATTACACACACATTACATATATTACACACACATTACACATATTACACACACATTACATATATTACACACACATTACATATATTACATACACATTACATATATTACACACACATTACATATATTACATACACATTACATATATTACATACACATTACATATATTACACATATTACACACACATTACATATATTACACACACATTACATATATTACACACAAATTACACATATTACACACACATTACATATATTACACACACATTACATATATTACACACACATTACATATATTACACACACATTACATATATTACATACACATTACATATGTATACACACATTACATATATTACATACACATTACATATATTACATACACATTACATATATTACACACACATTACATATATTACACACACATTACATATATTACACACACATTACATATATTACATACACATTACATATATTACACACACATTACATATATTACACACACATTACATGTATTACATACACATTACATATATTACACACACATTACATATATTACATACACATTACATATATTACACACACATTACATATATTACACATATTACACACACATTACATATATTACACACACATTACATATATTACATACACATTACATATATTACACACACATTACATATATTACATACACATTACATATATTACACACACATTACATATATTACATACACATTACATATATTACATACACATTACATATATTACACATATTACACACAAATTACATATATTACACACACATTACATATATTACACACACATTACATATATTACACACACATTACACATATTACACACACATTACATATATTACACACACATTACATATATTACACACACATTACATATATTACACACACATTACACATATTACACACACATTACATATATTACACACACATTACATATATTACACACACATTACATATATTACATACACATTACATATATTACACATATATTACACATATATTACATATATTACACATATATTACACACACATTACATATATTACACACACATTACATATATTACACACACATTACATATATTACACATATATTACACACACATTACATATATTACACCCACATTACAATTATTACGCACACATTACATATATTACGCATACATTACACACACATTACATATATTACACTCTCTGGGCAGACACTCTATCCACTACACCACAGAGACGGCCAGGGGATTGAACCACAAACCATACACTCTCTGGGAGACGCTCTATCCACTACACCACAGAGACGGCCAGGGGATTGAACCACAAACCATACACTCTCTGGGAGACGCTCTATCCACTACACCACAGAGACGGCCAGGGGATTGAACCACAAACCATACACTCTCTGGGAGACGCTCTATCCACTACACCACAGAGACGGCCAGGGGATTGAACCACAAACCATACACTCTCTGGGCAGACGCTCTATCCACTACACCACAGAGACGGCCAGGGGATTGAACCACAAACCATACACTCTCTGGGCAGACGCTCTATCCACTACACCACAGAGACGGCCAGGGGATTGAACCACAAACCATACACTCTCTGGGCAGACGCTCTATCCACTACACCACAGAGACGGCCAGGGGAATGAACTACAAACTGTATACTCTCTGGGCAGACACTCTATCCACTACACCACAGAGACGGCCAGGGGATTGAACCACAAACCATACACTCTCTGGGCAGACACTCTATCCACTACACCACAGAGACGGCCAGGGGAATGAACTACAAACTGTATACTCTCTGGGCAGACGCTCTATCCACTACACCACAGAGACGGCCAGGGGATTGAACCACAAACCATACACTCTCTGGGAGACGCTCTATCCACTACACCACAGTGGTGGCAAGGGGATTGAACCACAAACCATACACTCTCTGGGAGACGCTCTATCCACTACACCACAGAGACGGCCAGGGGATTGAACCACAAACCATACACTCTCTGGGAGACGCTCTATCCACTACACCACAGAGACAGCCAGGGGATTGAACCACAAACCATACACTCTCTGGGAGACGCTCTATCCACTACACCACAGTGGAGGCAAGGGGATTGAACCACAAACCATACTCTCTCTGGGAGACGCTCTATCCACTACACCACAGAGACGGCCAGGGGATTGAACCACAAACCATACACTCTCTGGGAGACGCTCTATCCACTACACCACAGTGGTGGCCAGGGGATTGAACCACAAACCATACACTCTCTGGGAGACGCTCTATCCACTACACCACAGAGGTGGCAAGGGGATTGAACCACAAACCATACTCTCTCTGGGAGACGCTCTATCCACTACACCACAGAGGCGGCCAGGGGATTGAACCACAAACCATACACTCTCTGGGAGACGCTCTATCCACTACACCACAGAGACAGCCAGGGGATTGAACCACAAACCATACACTCTCTGGGAGACGCTCTATCCACTACACCACAGAGACGGCCAGGGGATTGAACCACAAACCATACTCTCTCTGGGAGACGCTCTATCCACTACACCACAGAGACAGCCAGGGGATTGAACCACAAACCATACACTCTCTGGGAGACGCTCTATCCACTACACCACAGAGGTGGCAAGGGGATTGAACCACAAACCATACACTCTCTGGGAGACGCTCTATCCACTACACCACAGTGGTGGCAAGGGGATTGAACCACAAACCATACACTCTCTGGGAGACGCTCTATCCACTACACCACAGAGACGGCCAGGGGATTGAACCACAAACCATACACTCTCTGGGAGACGCTCTATCCACTACACCACAGAGACGGCCAGGGGAATGAACCACAAACCATACACTCTCTGGGAGACGCTCTATCCACTACACCACAGAGACGGCCAGGGGAATGAACCACAAACCATACACTCTCTGGGAGACGCTCTATCCACTACACCACAGAGACAGCCAGGGGATTGAACCACAAACCATACACTCTCTGGGAGACGCTCTATCCACTACACCACAGTGGTGGCAAGGGGATTGAAACGCAAACTTTACACTCTCTGGGAGACGCTCTATCCACTACACCACAGTGGTGGCAAGGGGATTGAACCACAAACCATACACTCTCTGGGAGACGCTCTATCCACTACACCACAGTGGTGGCAAGGGGATTGAACCACAAACCATACACTCTCTGGGAGACGCTCTATCCACTACACCACAGAGACGGCCAGGGGATTGAACCACAAACCATACACACTCTGGGAGACGCTCTATCCACTACACCACAGAGACGGCCAGGGGAATGAACCACAAACCATACACTCTCTGGGAGACGCTCTATCCACTACACCACAGAGACAGCCAGGGGATTGAACCACAAACCATACACTCTCTGGGAGACGCTCTATCCACTACACCACAGTGGTGGCAAGGGGATTGAAACGCAAACTTTACACTCTCTGGGAGACGCTCTATCCACTACACCACAGTGGTGGCAAGGGGATTGAACCACAAACCATACACTCTCTGGGAGACGCTCTATCCACTACACCACAGAGGTGGCAAGGGGATTGAACCACAAACCATACACTCTCTGGGAGACGCTCTATCCACTACACCACAGTGGTGGCAAGGGGATTGAAACGCAAACTTTACACTCTCTGGGAGACGCTCTATCCACTACACCACAGAGGTGGCAAGGGGATTGAACCACAAACCATACACTCTCTGGGAGACGCTCTATCCACTACACCACAGTGGTGGCCAGGGGATTGAACCACAAACCATACACTCTCTGGGAGACGCTCTATCCACTACACCACAGAGATGGCCAGGGGATTGAACCACAAACCATACACTCTCTGGGAGACGCTCTATCCACTACACCACAGTGGTGGCAAGGGGATTGAACCACAAACCATACACTCTCTGGGAGACGCTCTATCCACTACACCACAGAGACGGCCAGGGGATTGAACCACAAACCATACACTCTCTGGGAGACGCTCTATCCACTACACCACAGATACGGCCAGGGGATTGAACCACAAACCATACTCTCTCTGGGAGACGCTCTATCCACTACACCACAGAGACGGCCAGGGGATTGAACCACAAACCATACACTCTCTGGGAGACGCTCTATCCACTACACCACAGAGACGGCCAGGGGATTGAACCACAAACCATACACTCTCTGGGAGACGCTCTATCCACTACACCACAGAGATAGCCAGGGGATTGAACCACCAACCATACACTCTCTGGGAGACGCTCTATCCACTACACCACAGTGGTGGCAAGGGGATTGAACCACAAACCATACACTCTCTGGGAGATGCTCTATCCACTACACCACAGAGACAGCCAGGGGATTGAACCACAAACCATACACTCTCTGGGAGACGCTCTATCCACTACACCACAGAGATAGCCAGGGGATTGAACCACAAACCATACACTCTCTGGGAGACGCTCTATCCACTACACCACAGTGGTGGCAAGGGGATTGAACCACAAACCATACACTCTCTGGGAGACGCTCTATCCACTACACCACAGAGGTGGCAAGGGGATTGAAACGCAAACTTTACACTCTCTGGGCAGATGCTCTATCCACTTCACCACAGAGGTGGCAAGGGGATTGAAACGCAAACTTTACACTTTCTGAGTGAGTGAGTTAAAATTTAACATTGCATCGGCATTATTTCAGCCACATAGCGACGAGACCAAATTAATATAATCACAATTGAGTTACTTATGAAAAAAAAAAATAAAAAACTATTTATAAAACACTACACTACAGAGGCGGCAAGGGGACCGAACCACAAATCTTACACTATCTGGGCAGACACTCTATCCACTACTCTACAGAGGCGGCCAAATGGTGGACACAAACTACTAACATGACGATTATGGCGATTTTGCGATTTTTGCTGTCAGAAATTTGTCGGATATAGTGAAGATCAGCTCAACTCATTGCTTGCACAAATCACAGAATCAGTCACACACCACAAACTGAAATAGCCGTGTCTCCAGTTGTTAATAATTGTGTTGTAAGCATGGGAGAGGTGGTGCAAGTGGCGTACTCACTGGAGAGGTTGAGATTCAGCAGGACCCGGTTCCCGGCCACCATGAGGGTCTTCAGCTCAGACATGTAGTCAGCCACCTCCATCAGAGGGTTGATCACCTCGGGGACATCGGGTTGCTGTGAAACAAGACAATAGATAGAACTTTGAGAAGATCTTTGTGTAAATTACGTATATCATTACATAATTTTAATGTTAATAATCTCAGAAAGAAAAATGTACAAGATAAAGAAAGTAGTTCATGCTGTTATTGTAATGAAGGCTATGTTGAGGATCAAGATAAAGAAAGTAGTTCATGCTGTTATTGTAATGAAGGCTATGTTGAGGATCAAGATAAAGAAAGTAGTTCATGCTGTTATTGTAATGAAGGCTATGTTGAGGATCAAGATAAAGAAAGTAGTTCATGCTGTTATTGTAATGAAGGCTTTGTTGAGGATCAAGATAAAGAAAGTAGTTCATGCCGTTATTGTAATGAAGGCTATGTTGAGGATGAGTTTCATGTACTTCTCATTTGTAAATATTATCAGTTTCTTAGAAATAGATACCTCCCTATGATTTCAACTATGTACAAAGATGAACAACTGATGAAAAATTTGTTGAACTCCCGCAATGCTAATACAATATCATCTCTGTCAATATTCCTGAAGAAGATTTTTGAAATTAGACGTTAATATTATATGTAAACTTATTATTACCTACACGTGACTGTAGAATGTTGATACAAAAAAACACAAAACACTTCTGTACTATAGGTCATATGGCCTAAAATATTGAATAAACTTTGGTCTGAAACAAGACAATAACAACTAAGGTCAAGTAACTGGGTTACACTTCGGAGCCTGGAAGGTCGTAAACAACATCAGACTGATGCATATATTTAAGAACACCATGACTGAAAGGTAAGCCTATGGCAAACATTGACTTTCAGCGTGTACCTACATCAGCTGTTACAACACTGTCCAACTGTGTGGCTGTGTTTTGTGTAAAATTATTTATAAAATATAGGTTGTGAACTTTAAAATCATATCATAATTAATTAAATTTAATCATATTAAAAATAATGAGCATTAAGTTTTAACTAGAAATATTCAACAGTTTAGGCATTCTGCTCAGGAAACGAGCACTGCCATCATTTTAAAATAAATAAATAAATAAATAAATAAATAAATAAATAAGGCACCAGTTCACCACTAGACTGATCTGTATAACAAGTTTCAACAAGAAATATTCAACGGTTTAGGAGTTCTGGCTGAAAATGGAAAACAGACAGGTATAGCGTCATGCATGCACGTGTGTGTGTGTGTGGCTGCTTGTACTAGTCCAGAAAAATGCCGATTTTATAGTGCTAGGCCATTGAGCTACCAGTATATCACAGAGGTCTGTTAATAATAGAGTCTGGACCAGACAATCCAGTGATTGACATCATGAGCATCGATTCACGCAAGTGGGACACGATGATATCCATCAACCAAGTCAGCGAGCCTGACCACCCGATCCTGTTAGCCGCCTCTTACGACAAGCATAGTCGTCTTTTACGGCAAGCATGGGTTGCGGAAGACTTATTCTAACCCGGGTCATGAGATCAGTGAGTGATTGAGTATGGTTTTACGCCGCTTTTATCAATATTCCAGCAATATCACAGCAGGGGACACCAGAAATGGGCTTCACACATTGTACCCATGTCGGGAATCGAACCCGGGTCTTCGGCGTGACGAGCGAATGCTTTTACCACTAGGCTACCCGACCGCCCCTCGTGAGATCAGTGATGTGGGTACAGCGTAGTTACAAACAACCTGCCTCTCTGCCACTACATCTATCGTGTTAAACTTCTCACCTCCTGTTCCTGTGGTGTTGGTTTCTTGACCTTCTTGTCCTTCGTCTTCCCCACACTCTTCCCTGCATCAGCAGCTATAGAGGCTGTCCAACATACAGACACAAAGCTGCATGGAGGGTACCCGGTAGATACAGGATAAACATCACTTTATAGAACATTTCACACGTACAAGGGTGCAGGGAACGCACTGGTTCTCTCACATTGGCAAACAGTCAATCTTGTTTCACTTTTCTTAAAGTTTACTTTAATATAATACTTTCCTTATTCATTACAAATATAATGAAAATAGAATTAAGGAACAGATCAAGATAGATTTCTTTACTGATGGAATCAAAGTGTACCCAGTCATATTCTATATCAGCATTGAGGGATCAGCATTATACATACATAACTATTCATGGCAACATTTATCTCTAGTTTGACATTATTCATAGCAAGAAGATCAAATGCAATGTAAAAACATAAAAGTGGTGATGAACTGAATTAAATACTTCATTAGATAATACAATAACACTGAAATAGAAATCAGTGGTAATCAGAGCAGAGGTGAGGTGAAATGGGGTTTAATGTCGCGTCCAAGATTATTGCACTTATATAGCGACGTGCATGTACGTGTGTGTGTTTGTGTGGCTGCTTGTTCTAGTCCAGACTGATGCCGATTTATAGTGCTAGCTCACTGAGATACCATACCGCAGTTTAACATGAATACCCCACTCAGACACAGTATACTGACTCCGAGCCGACCAGTCCTTGTTTTACCCCCTTACTGCCGAGCGCCAGAAAGGGTAACAACAAGTACCATCTTTTAACGTCTTTTGGTATGACGTGGCCGGGGATCGAATCCCGGACCTTCCGCTCTCCGGGCGGATAATCAGCGCAGAGGGAATGTTAACGAATTACATACTTCATCAGAACATGTAATCATGACACAGAAACTGATGTAGGAACTCAAGTGGTCATCAGGGCAGAGGGAATGTTAATGAATTACATACTTCATCAGAACATGTAATCATAGCACAGAAACTGATGTAGGAACTCAAGTGGTCATCAGGACAGAGGGAATGTTAATGAATTACATACTTCATCAGAACATGTAATCATAGCACAGAAACTGATGAAGGAACTCAAGTGGTCATCAGGGCAGAGGGAATGTTAATGAATTACATACTTCATCAGAACATGTAATCATAGCACAGAAACTGATGAAGGAACTCAAGTGGTCATCAGGACAGAGGGAATGTTAATGAATTACATACTTCATCAGAACATGTAATCATGACACAGAAACTGATGTAGGAACTCAAGTGGTCATCAGGACAGAGGGAATGTTAATGAATTACATACTTCATCAGAACATGTAATCACAGCACAGAAACTGATGTAGGAACTCAAGTGGTCATCAGGACAGAGGGAATGTTAATGAATTACATACTTCATCAGAACATGTAATCATAGCACAGAAACTGATGTAGGAACTCAAGTGGTCATCAGGACAGGGGGAATGTTAATGAATTACATACTTCATCAGAACATGTAATCATAGCACAGAAACTGATGTAGGAACTCAAGTGGTCATCAGGACAGGGGGAATGTTAATGAATTACATACTTCATCAGAACATGTAATCATAGCACAGAAACTGATGTAGGAACTCAAGTGGTCATCAGGACAGAGGGAATGTTAATGGATTACATACTTCATCAGAACATGTAATCATAGCACAGAAACTGATGAAGGAACTCAAGTGGTCATCAGGACAGAGGGAATGTTAATGAATTACATACTTCATCAGAACATGTAATCATAGCACAGAAACTGATGAAGGAACTCAAGTGGTCATCAGGACAGAGGGAATGTTAATGAATTACATACTTCATCAGAACATGTAATCATGACACAGAAACTGATGTAGGAACTCAAGTGGTCATCAGGGCAGAGGGAATGTTAATGAATTACATACTTCATCAGAACATGTAATCACAGCACAGAAACTGATGTAGGAACTCAAGTGGTCATCAGGACAGAGGGAATGTTAATGAATTACATACTTCATCAGAACATGTAATCATAGCACAGAAACTGATGTAGGAACTCAAGTGGTCATCAGGACAGAGGGAATGTTCATGAATTACATACTTCATCAGAACACATAACCATAACACTGAAATAGAAATCAGTGGTAATCAGCGCAGAGAGAATGTTAATGGATTACATACTTCATCAGAACATGTAATCATAGCACAGAAACTGATGAAGGAACTCAAGTGGTCATCAGGACAGAGGGAATGTTCATGAATTACATACTTCATCAGAACACATAACCATAACACTGAAATAGAAATCAGTGGTAATCAGCGCAGAGAGAATGTTAATGGATTACATACTTCATCAGAACATGTAATCATAGCACAGAAACTGATGAAGGAACTCAAGTGGTCATCAGGACAGAGGGAATGTTCATGAATTACATACTTCATCAGAACATGTTTACAATCATAGCACAGAAACTCATGTAGGAACTCAAGTGGTCATCAGGACAGAGGGAATGTTAATGAATTACATACTTCAACAGAACATGTAATCATAGCACAGAAACTCAAGAGGAGATCAGCGCAGAGGGAATTGGGAACTGAGCAAGGTGATGAAGCATGTTCTACAATCGGATGGAGTGTAGCAAGGGACATAACTACACAAGAGTCTGAGTAACTAAAAGTATGTGGAGCAGTTTAATAGCATATTGCAACATGTGCAATAACCTGTTCAACAACCAGTGCAACATATGCACCGTGTAACAAGATATGAAAAGGTAAAGAAATTGCAACATGTGTTACATAATGAGCATAAAGTGCAACGTATATATTCAGCATGTAGCCAAATATATACTTGCATGTGTAACAAGCTATGCAACATATACAAGAATGTTGTTTGTTTGTTTGGGTGTTTGTTATTTAACGCCGCACTCAGCAATATTCCAGCTATATGAAGGCGGTCTGTAAATAATCAAGTGGGATACAATGCCATGCATCAACCAAGTCAGCGAGCCTGACCACCTGATCCTGTTAGTCGCCTTTTACGACAAGCATAGTCGCCTTTTACAGCAAGCATGGGTTGCTGAAGACCTATTCTACCTGGAATCTTCACGGGTCTACAAGAATGTTGTGAGTAAAGAACATAGTGCAACATATACAACAACACATGCAACATGCAGAACAATATACATGTATAGCAGCATATTATGGTACAAGCATATACATCTATGCAATGTGAGTGAGTGAGTGAGTTGGGTTTAACGCCGCTTAACAGTATTCCAGTTATATCACGGCGTGTCAGCTTAATGTGGGAGGAAAGCCCGAAGTGACACATGTCTCAGACGTTTACCACTTCGGTGAAATCCACGAGCACGGGTATGGTGCTGACAAACCTAGAAACATAACTTGGGCGAACAATCATTGGTTTCTGGCGTGCCAAAGGGATGCAATTCTGCACAGCGAATCGCAGCGCCTTAGACGACAGAGCCACCCATGCCACCTCTATGCAATGTAAGATGTAGCAGTATCACAAGGGGTACATGGGGTTTAATGCGTCCCCATTAGGTTCTATACCCAATCTCATTAAAATCAGATTTTAGTTCTTGCTATCGCTAAACAAAGATCTGAGGACATCCCATTACGGGTCACGTCAGAACGACCTTTCATCCGACCAATCAAAGCGTCGCTTACCAGATCATGAAAGTGACAGTCGGAATGTGTTTTCTAATCCTGCAAACTCAAAAACGTTAACACTGTGTATTCAGAACGACAGTTACGGCCCGTACGAGTGATTACGTCAAAATTTTCGTCTATCTCTCGCTTACATGGGATAAACTTTTGAACGGAGGAGTTGTTGCACAATACGTGGGAAGCACTGCACTGCCATACAATCTTAACCAAATATATATTACACTTTCCGGAATGTTCGTGTGTTCAGTTTTCAAAATTTTAATCGAGAACTGTGTCAACATATTTTTCAAGCGTAGTCTGAAATGGAAGTCGCCAGGTTGAAACGGGTGCCGTATAGATCAAGAAAGATGCTTTCAAGTTGGCTGATGTCGACTTCTTGTTAGTCATTTCAGTGGTCGGTCAAGTTTGCGAAAGGTCGTTCTGACGTGACCCGTAATGGGTGTCCTCAGATCTTTGTTTCGCAGCAGCAAGAACTTAGATCTGATTTTAATGGGATTGGTACTATACCTCGAGCTGGAGGCGAGTGGTTTTATATAAGTTGTAGCAGGATCACTAGAGGTACATAGGTTTTATTAACAATGGCATGAAATGAATCTTGTCATATCGAAGCTTGTTTCAATCAGGAATGAACAGTGCATGTACTTTGGCTGAACGGTTATTTCACCCTTTAAGCTCTGCTATAACCAGACTCAAAATGAATGTGCAGAATGGTCAAGGGTACTTGTATTACTAGACATGGAGTGAGTGAATGAGTATGGTTTAACACCGCTTTTAGCAATATTCCAGCAATATCACGGCGGGTGACACCAGCCAGCGGGCTTCACACATTGTACCTATGTTGGAAATCAACCCGGGTATTCGGCGTGACAAGCGGACGCTTTAACCACTAGGCTACCCAACCACCCCACATACACCACATACACCGGATTATCAAAAACTAGTTCTGTGTTTCCGAACACTGGGCAGCCTGTGTCCAGCAAAGGATGGAGCACATTACAGCCACATCATGGCCAACCTGACCAATTGTGTCCGAATAGAGGAAACAGTGCAGTGATGCGAGGCGAACACTGTATCCATCTCAGGTCTCCATCCCAGGTCCCTGCAGAGGGAAGAGGCAGTGATGATGGAGTGGTCTATGGTTCCTTTAACCATGTTTTGACCATGTTAGGACTCAATGGTCATTTTGGACAAGCATATCCCTGCCTTTGCTGACAATATGAAGCAAGCCTTGTGTTGACAATATGGGACGACACATTGTTGACAATATGGGACAAGCACGGTGTTGATGAAACGAAGCAAGCACGATGTTGACAATATGAAGCAAGCCTTGTGTTGACAATATGGGACGACACATTGTTGACAATATCGTACAAGCACAGTGTTGATGAAACGAAGCAAGCACGATGTTGACAATATGAAGCAAGCCTTGTGTTGACAATATGGGACGACACATTGTTGACAATATCGTACAAGCACAGTGTTGATGAAACGAAGCAAGCACAATGTTGACAATATGAAGCAAGCCTTGTGTTGACAATATGGGACGACACATTGTTGACAATATTGGACAAGCACAGTGTTGATGAAATGAAGCAAGCACAATGTTGACAATATGAAGCAAGCACTTTGGTGACAATAAGGAAACAAAAAAAATGGCAAATGATAATGGTATGGGTCGGTGCAAGTTTCACAAGAGCCACTGACCCGGGAAATATGATATATGGGTTAGTCTGTTGACACACTATTAGAAGTATCCATGGTAACAACTGTACACAATGGAAAGACATTGATGAGAGTTGACACTTGTTCATCCACTGATGTGATGAGGCATTACCATGGTTACAGGGACAGGTTATTGTCGACAAACAATCTGACGATATTATTCATAAAACGGCAATAAAACCAGGGCCCACTTGCACAAAGCGATCTTAGCGCTAAGATGATCTTAACTCCCATACTTTAACATAGGCTTACAATAGTCGTAGCGCTAAAATCGCTTTGTGCAAGTGGGCCCAGGTGTGATGGGGGTCAACAGAAGCATGCGAGTTGACGACAGTGAGAAAAACATGCCACGTGACAGTTGGGGTGCGGGTCAACACAAGATCATACCAGTGAGGACGGACAGAAGTTTTAGGGCTGTTGAGGTGAAAGAATAAAGATGTGTTAGAATGCTCAACGTTAAGTGTAAAGATAAAAAGTTGTGATAATTCTTGACCAGAGAGAAACACACTCTATTTCAAGAACATGGATAGTGCTAATCTTAACACTGTGTTTGTAGGGCCAACAAATGGCACTGAGGACAAAATTCTTGCAGTAGGTTAAACAATGGAGAAGTAATATAGTTGTAACACAGGTTTTGACTATTAGCTAAGGAACTTGGCAGAGTTGCTAAAATAAACTTCAATGACTAGATAGGGTTAATTCATTCAAACACAGAAGGCAAGGTCACTAGATTAAACCCCCAAGGCCTAGTTGATAACAGGAAATCCAGTGGGTCAAGGTTGCCATTTTAAACCCTCAAGGTCACAACAAGAAACCCAAAAGGTCAAGGTTGCCATTTTAAACCCTCAAGGTCACAACAAGAAACCCAATAGGTCAAGGTTGACATTTGAAACCCTCAAGGTCACAACAAGTAACCCAATAGGTCAAGGTTGCCATTTTAAACCCTCAAGGGCATGTTTGTTTGTTGTTTAACGCCACACTCAGCAATACACGTGAGACATCTCAAGATGATGAGAATTCCTGACTATCCTAAAACCCATGTTCCTGAATGCGAGTTACAACACACGACACTGAGAATGTGAGTGGTGAGTGAGTGCGATGGACGGACACACGTGTGTGACATGTGATCATGGTGATGTTAGAAGATTCAACAGCACGCTGTGGTGTAAGGACAGTGCTGGTCAACTGACCTGGACGATGGTCTGAAACACCCACAAGTAGAAACCATATTAATATTTGAACATCCATGTATGCGTATTAATACCAATGGTGACCAGACACCAGTGCATCACCGCACACCCAATCATTAGTATGGCATGAGTGAGTGCATGTTGTTTTATGCCGCAGTCAGCAATATTCCAGCTGTATCTGTCTAGCCTGGAAATAATTAACTGAACTAGTCATTGCATGGAGAATTAAGAACCACATACAGTGAAATACGTTTATAACGAACACGTTTATAACAAACTGACGGATATAACAAACTGGTTCTGGGTCCATCCAGTTGCTGTATATATGCTTTATCTCTGCCGATAACGAAATACGGTTATAACGGACTAAAATTAGTGGTCCCTTTGACTTCGTTATAACCGTAGATTACTGTACAGTCAAGTCCCGTTAATCCGACATGGTTGGTTGCATATGATTATGTCAGATTAACAAGTATGTCGGATAAACGAAATAAAGTAGAATCAACATTTGTGATCGAAAATCGGAAAACTACACAAAAGATAACAATACAAACACGTAATAAAAAACGAAAAATGAAATATTCATATTGTTATGTTACATTATTAGGAGACTGTTTTCTAAACATGCAACCTCTTAACACAAAACTACTGTTACGGACTGTACGACTGATTCAAATACTTTTTAAAGCATAGTCTGGAAAGGAAGTCGCCAGTTTGAAACTGGTGCCGCAAAGCTCAAGAGAGCTGCTTTCTTAGTGGCTAATGTTGACTTCCCGTAAGTCATTTCATTCGTCGGTCAAAGTTCGCGAATGGTCGTTCTGATGTGACCTGTAATGGGATCATCTGATTTTAATGAGATTGAGGTAATCTATGCATGTGATTAATCCTGTTTTCTTTATTTAAAGCATTAATTGTTTATTGTTAAGCAAGTTCATCTCTGCAGCCGTTGTAATATGCACACACCAGACGACGCTTCAAAACACAGGCCTAGTACTTGCGAGCAGATGACCACGGAGTACGCTGATCACTGTGTCGGATTAACAAGACTGATTAATGAGTGATTTCGGTAATTCGTTGCCAATTAGGTTTGACAAAGTCGGAATGCGAGACTGTTGGATTAACGGGTCTAAATAGCACTGATTTAATTGGTTCAAATCATTAGTGTCAGATAAAGCCAATTGCCGGATTAACGAGTGTCGGATTAACGAGACTTGACTGTATACAATCCAAAAAATAACATAAACGTTCACATTCATCAACAACACATTTAACATTAAACAACAAACATCTGAACAAACAAACATGATCAGGTAAATAACATGAGTTCAACATGAGGACATGACTACTGGTCATGTCAGTGCACACGGACATAAACACGAACATCTGTGAGTGAGTGAGTGAGTTGGGTTTATGCCACTTTAAACAGTATTCCAGTAACATCACAGCGTATCAGCTTAGTGTGAGAGGAAAGCCAGAGTGATACTGGTCTCAGACGTTTACCACTTTGGTGAAACCCACGAGCACTGGTATGGTGCTGACAAACCGATAAACCCGGGGAACCGGGATTCAAACCCAAGATCATAGGTTCCTGGCGTGCCCAAGGGATGCAACTCTTCACATGGAACTGCAGTTCCTTAGACAACTGGACCACCTGGGCCACCCAAACATCTATGCAATTATGAAATGTTTGAACAAGTGACTATCAATTTCAACAGAAAACAAGATGGGTGTGGCAGCATCAGAGAGATGGGGAGGGTGCCACTATCAGAGATGGGGAGGGTGCCAATATCAGAGAAGTAGGGTTGATGTGGCAGCATCAGAGAAATGGGGTGGGTCCCACTATCAGAGATGGGGGAGGGTGTGGCACCATCAGAGAGATGGGGAAGGCATGAGGCCATCACAGGTGTTGAGGGTTTGGCATATCAGAAAGATGGGAAGGGTGACACTATCAAAGATGGGGAAGGTGTGGCAACAACTGAGAGATGGGGAAGGCATGACATTATCAGAGATGGGGACGGTGCCACTATGAGAGAGATGGGGTGGGTGTGGCAGCATCAGAGAGATGGGGACGGTGCCACTATCAGAGATGGGGTGGGTGTGGCAGCATCAGAGAGATGGGGACGGTGCCACTATCAGAGATGGGGTGGGTGTGGCAGCATCAGAGAGATGGGGACGGTGCCACTATCAGAGATGGGGAGGGTGTGGCACCATCAGAGAGATGGGGACGGTGCCACTATCAGAGAGATGGGGTGGGTGTGGCAGCATCAGAGAGATGGGGACGGTGCCACTATCAGAGAGATGGGGTGGGTGTGGCAGCATCAGAGAGATGGGGACGGTGCCACTATCAGAGAGATGGGGTGGGTGTGGCAGCATCAGAGAGATGGGGAGGGTGTGGCACCATCAGCGAGATGGGGAAGGCATGACGCCATCAGAGAGATTGGGTGGGTGTGGCACAATCAGAAAGATGGGGAGGGTGCCTCTTTTCAGAGAGATGGGGTGGGTGTGGCATCATCAGAGATGGGGAGGGTGCCTCTATCAGAGAGATGGGGTGGGTGTGGCATCATCAGAGATGGGGAGGGTGTGGCATCATCAGAGATGGGGAGGGTGCCTCTATCAGAGAGATGGGGTGGGTGTGGCATCATCAGAGATGGGGTGGGTGTGGCATCATCAGAGATGGGGAGGGTGCCTCTATCAGAGAGATGGGGTGGGTGTGGCATCATCAGAGATGGGGAGGGTGTGGCACCATCAGAGAGATGGGGAAGGCATGACATTATCAGAGATGGGGAGGGTGCCTCTATCAGAGAGATGGGGTGGGTGTGGCATCATCAGAGATGGGGAGGGTGTGGCATCATCAGAGATGGGGAGGGTGCCTCTATCAGAGAGATGGGGTGGGTGTGGCATCATCAGAGATGGGGTGGGTGTGGCATCATCAGAGATGGGGAGGGTGCCTCTATCAGAGAGATGGGGTGGGTGTGGCATCATCAGAGATGGGGAGGGTGTGGCACCATCAGAGAGAACGGGAAGGCATGATGCCATCAGAGAGATTGGGTGGGTATGGCACAATCAGAGAGATGGGGAGGATGCCACTATCAGAGATGGGGAGGGTGTGGCACAATCAGAGAGATGGGGAATGTGTGGCACCAACAGAGATGGGGAGGGTGTGGCACAATCAGAGAGATGGGGATGCTGTGGCACCATCAGAGAGATTGGTAGGATGTGGCACAATTAGAGAGATGGGGAGCGCATGGCACCAGCATGGCATCAAGTTGCTAGACTGGGAGAACTTCATAGCACAGCTATCATGGCCTGGTAAGGAAGTACAGAAGTTAGTCCTAGGATTGGCTGTGGAGGGAATAGGTGAAGGTCATTTAAGACAGCAATATTGTCCTGAATCAACTGGTCAAGACCAGAGACCATAAACAGCTTATCTTAGCAAGGATAACATGGAACTGACCTACTCAAACAGGAATGTAAGCAATAGTTTCATCAGTGCTGTAGACTGTGCTTGGTGTTCTTCAGGTTATGTAGCGTTCCTATCAGCTAGTGGGCTGTGATCGCACAACAGTGTCTGTGAGAGTGTTAGTGTTGTAGACTGTGCTTGGTGTTCTTTAGGTTATGTAGTGTTCCTATCAGCTAGTGGGCTGTGATCGCACAACAGTGTCTGTGAGAGTGTTAGTGTTGTAGACTGTACTTGGTGTTCTTCAGGTTATGTAGCGTTCCTATCAGCTAGTGGACTGTTATCACACAACAGTGTCTGTGAGAGTCTTAGTGTTGTAGACTGTGCTTGGTGTTCTTCAGGTTATGTAGTGTTCCTATCAGCTGGTGGACTGTTATCACACAACAGTGTCTGTGAGAGTGTTAGTGTTGTAGACTGTGCTTGGTGTTCTTCAGGTTATGTCGCATTCCTCTTAACAGTTGCAGGGCTAGTGAACTGTGATCACACAACAGTGTCTGAGAGAGTGTTCATGTTATGGACACAGTGTCATCACACAACAGTGTCTGAGAGAGTGTTCATGTTATGGACACAGTGTCATCACACAACAGTGTCTGAGAGAGTGTTCATGTTATGGACGTAGTGTCTTCACACAACAGTGTCTGACAGAGTGTTAGTATTGGACTGAACACTGTTAGTTTGATGTTAGTAAAATTGTTAAAGCAAACATAACAAACTTTTTTGGACAACTGAACAAATGATTTCTTGTTAATTTCTAGAAAGACTTTTCCCTGTAGAACTATATCAAAGATCTTTGCAACACAGTCAGAAATCCTACAAAATAAAATACGCCATGAAATAAAACAGAAACCAGTTAAACAAGTCCTATCTTGCACATCTTGCATCAGTCCGTATTAAAATTAACAAACTTTCTGGTTTAGATTCAGTTTGTTTTCAATCATAAGTTTTATAAAAATCAGTATGTCAGAGTAGAGGATCTATTCACTGACATGGTTTACAGTGAGATACATCATGGTCAGTATTCAAAATAAGCGCCTGCCTGTAGGCCCATGGCAGGTAGATTTTGTGTCAGGTTTGTAGTTTCAAATTTGTAAGGCCTGTAGTATATTTACATGTTGATTTATTTGACACCATAAGCTGCAGTTTTTTTTAAAATGAGGGTCAGTGCCTGCAGCTTCTAAAGACTTTGGATTGTGATGGCAGCCAGGCATTTTTTTCAATTACAAACACTGAACATTTGCATTGCCAAAAGAGAAAGGAAAATACGTTCGGTAAACAATTCCCAGAGTAAAACATATGGAATTGTTTTGTGATGCAAAGATGGACAGAAACAGTAAGGTAAATTTTCAAATTTGGACACAAATTAAAATCAAGGTTCTCTAGGTTCTCTTAAATAATGCCTGCCATAATCACTATTTAAATACGCCTTTATCAAATCCAAATAAAATTATTTATCAAGAAAAGTTTTAATCAAATCCTAATATCCGACCATGAATCTACAAAGTAACAAGTTAGTTCTGCCAGGGCAAAGTCTGTCGGAACAGATGTTAGGAGAACT